CCCCCCGCCCGTCGGGCAAATCCTGGTGCCACCCCTGGTAAAAATATATATTTTAACACCATAACCAACCCCTATTAGTATTATGTGGACGGGAACACTGTCTAAGTAAGCAAAATAATACAAAAAATAAAATAAAATAAAATAAATGATGTGTTACTTCAAAATTCATTGTTAATTTCACATCCGGTATTATTTTTGGGGATGTTTATAAGTAGTAAAATAAATCTTTGTAACGTATTCTGCCATTTATGTTTCCACCTCATAGGCTTGACAACAATCATTAATATCGTCATTATTTTTAGTTTTCATGGAAAATGGTTGTTTTTGGGGGGGTTTTTTATGGAAAGAAACTAGTAATTTTTTTATGAGGCTCCAAAAAATTATTTTTTTCTTGTGTACTATCATATAGAATTCCAATTGATACCGTAATCTGCACCAATTTAAGTCATTACCAGTACTCTATACATAGTACTGTATCTTTTACATCAATTAGAAAGCTCAATATTTTTAATTTTAAAAATTAATATTTGGTTATAATATTATAATTATTATTAGCACTTGGATCATGAAACGATACAAGGAATAATATGAGCCTGTTACACAACTTTATCTTGTTTTAATTACATTTCTGTAGGACCATAAAAAGCAGAAAAAAAGTAGGAAAATCGCCCAAAAATCTTCTCAAACGGACCGTCTTATCATATTATTATAATTTTTATTCGAACGTACACTTTTGTAACAGTGGCACTTCACGTCAAGTGGCGGTACATTCAAAGCAAAAAATTCAAATTAACAAAACAAAACAATTTAAAATTACAAAAAATAATTTGACCAAAAATAGATCCACTAAATAAAGGATATAAAAGAAATTCAGAAAAAGACGAATTAGCAAAGAAATTCCCCCTTTCTCTTTGGAATCTCTTTAGAATATAAATTAAATACTGTACTTTAATTAATTAATTTATTATTACCTACTTGAATTGTATAGGCCTAGGTGCTGCAGTGTTCTTTATGTAGAAATCGATGTGATCATTCGGGTCCGATGGCACCTCCAATTTCAAGCAAGCGTTGTGCCGGCCAGAGATTTCTTCGAAGTTAGAAGATAATTCTGATAGCAACATTGATTTATTGCTTTAAGTACTGCGACAATAACATTCAGAGGCGAATTTAGAAAGTTTAGATAAAGTATTTATTAAAGTTTTTTAGTTTTATTTCACCGCTAATTTGTCAATAACAGGCCCTGAAATTTTTTACTCTAGCATCCAACCTCTGAGAGATTTGAAATGCGTGAGTGACTACACCATTTGGCTGAGGGGGTGGGGGTCCAGAGGCGGATTTAAAGATGAAAAACAGTGAAAGTTTAACATTGTTCTGTGTATATCATTTGAAAATTTCTTTAAATTTCTAGCGAATGACCGCTGATTTTCGTGTAATTATGTACCCACTTTTGTCTTCTAATCGGATTAAAATCTGGCCGAATTTTGGCCGATATCGAAAAAAAGTTCGGCCGAATTTGGCCGTGAGATGGCGTGTGTTTGGCCGTGAAGACTGTCGACTGTCTGGCAACCCTGGGTGGGAAGCTCCTCTCTCGTCATTCTTTCAAGGTCTCGTTATAATTTGGTTCTTTTTGGGTGTTGGAAACAAATTTTCCACCGTTAATAAGAACTAAAAAACAAAATGCTAAAAATGCCTATTTTATCCGAGACTGGCCTGCATATTAAGGCAGCTACGGATGGGGATTTGCTGACAGAAGGCTTTGAAAAAGTTAACTTAAATCGTTACAACAAGCATACTAATCCGAAGGTAGGCCTAAGTAAGGTCCCTGGCCTGGGCCTTGTCGTCTAGGGCCTAGCTGCTGCTGGCTTAGGACCTACAGTAGAAGTGGGCTTAGCCCAGAGCCATAATATGTAGATAGCTGTTACTAAATGGCCCTGAAACACCTTTGGCGATTTAGCCAGGGTATGCCAACTTATGAAAAATTTGGCGAAAACGCTGGCGTACGTCGAATAAATTAATATTACTAGACCTAGGGCTAGGCCTAGGGAGCTTTCGATTTGTTCGACTACGCGACGCAAGCTAGAAATTAATCACTCATGCGTGACGGGTGTCTTACGTGCTCAGCTACGTAGATTTGGCCAAATTGCGTCCTAGAATCCACGCGACGATTAGAACTTAACATTCCTGCAAGCACTGATGACTTGTAGTAACATCATTACGTCCTACTATCATCATGCAATGGAAAGCTCCCTATTTATTGGTAAGTTTCGTATAGATAAGTTAAGAGCATAATGAAGCATGCTGGTATACGTCGTAGGACGGCGAGTATGTCGTAAAATTTTTTGTATGCGCAAAACTTTTCGACGTATGCCAGCGTATGGCTCAACGTTCCACATACGCGGGACATAAGTTGTAGGTATGCGATCGTTGACACACGTTCGCACACTAGTTAATCAAAAGTCTAAATACTTCGAGATAATGTCTAGCATACCCAAAAGTTATTTCAAACCTATGAGTAACATGCTTTGAACCCAGGCCTATATGTAACTTATCGAACTTGTCTCCAATGCATATTGATGTATGTAGACGTATTTGACGTGTTCCGGATGACAACAGAACTTGTCTAATGTGTTTTTTACTTATAGCTACCACGGCACATAATTTCATATTGCCAGCGTTTAGGGGAATTGATATATAAAAATGGGATGATGTTGATACGGTGATGTTGATGCAATGATACTGTGACAGAAATGTTGATACTGCGATGCCTAGTGCGGTTATCATTTGAATCGACGAGTGGCAGCCTTTTAATAGGCTACGTCACATGATCGTTGGCGATAAGCTACCATACATTATGTATACCGGTATGTACAACTCATTATGAATACGCTATGTTTGCGCCCAAAATAGAAAAAAAAATCATTGATAGTTCAGCATACTGTATGCCAGCATTTTAGAGAAATTTTGGTACGTTGGCATATGCTGACTAAATCGTTAAGGTGTGACAGGGCCATAAATATTTTAAAACTGATGCAGCATAAACTTTCTGTCATTTTTCTGGCCATTCTTCATGTGGACAAATAAATGATGGGATTTTAATATGATCATTGTAAATATCATATCATCATATTCAGAAAGTTGATCAATCAAGGCCTGCCTTATTCTGAGAAGATTGAAATTATTTATTTTTCGTTACATATGGCCTGCTACTTCTACAGTTAGGCTAACTAGGCCTATGATTGAGTCCACTTCAAGGAAAAACACAAGTTTGACTTTTCTTCTTTTGATGGCAGATTAAAATCATGCTTTTTTATTCCTTCCTATTAACATTTTTTTTTTAAATCCTAAATTACTAAATATTTATTTTTTTTCACCTTCAGGGAATCATAAACCTTGGCACATCTGAAAATAAACTGATGTCTGATGTTCTTTTTAAGAAGGTAATATTGTTTAAAAACCACATTAAAAAAACTCATTTATTCTGTTACTGTAGATCATTTTGATATGCAGCTCTGCTCCATACTGTAAATTATTTTAATTGTGCGGACGATGCATCAAAAAC